TCATTCCAGATGTCTAGTAGGATGCTCTGCTCTGAGTTTTCTGAAGAGAACCACTGTTGAACCAGGCTGGCGTTCTACTAGGTGTTCAGGGGACTTGACCGGGAAGAGGTACACTGGGCTCCAGATGGAAGAGTCTTCTGGAAGATCTTTCGGTAGACATTTGCCTTTCGGCATTAGGGTAGAAGAGTAAGTACTGGCAACAGAGCAGGGGCATGTGATTCCTGGCACTTTGATGGCCTGAGGCTTGCAGGCCACCCACACAAATGGCTTTCCCGTATCGCTGGCTTCCATGAGGGCAGCTGAGAAAGAAAGGCCCAGAAGGTGCGAAAGCAGCCTGGAAGCTCGTCTGCCCGATGGAGCAGGCTGCCTCGCTGCACTGTACAGATGAAGGCCGGCCTAGGGGAGGCAGGGCTCCTGGAGGCCTGGCACCTGAGGGCCACATCCTCCCGCCATGTCTCAGGAAACCATCGAGTAGCTACAGCGCTAAGGGCTCCCAAGTGCCAGGGCCCACACTAGGCGCAGTGATCGCTGACTGGGCCTGTGCCTGGGATCTGCTCCGTGTGAGGTGGGAGGCACCCAGCAGGAACAGAGGCAGTGTTTGGAAGTGGTGAATAAGGTGATTGAATGTTGAAAATCTTAAATCAAAATGAGAGCACTGACACCAGGTTTTTAAAAACATGGGATCTTACTTATCTGAGAAATCTTGTGACTGTAATAACTCAGGGTGACTATAAAGCTAATTCACCCTGAGTTATACACTGAGATAATCTTTTGAAAAAGTGACTAAAGAGTTGGGCTTCTTCAGGATAGAAGGTGCCATGTGCCTGGCACCCCCCACCACAAGTCTCACATCTTCTTTGGAGTAAGGCCAGCTCAGAACACCTGGAACAGCACTGACCCACCTCAGTAAGGGCCTCTCCAGCTTCTGAGGAGCACTAGCTCTGACCAAGAAGGAGACATGTAAGGGACAGGGGAAGGTCCGGACCTACGGAATCCTCTGGGCTCCACTGCAGTCACAAAACCACAGGCTGGCCTCTCCCCAGTGCTTCTCCAAGGATATCCTTTGGAGCCTCATGTGTATAGCCCAGAAGCAGAAAGAAAAGAAGAAAGAAGAGGCTGGGGCACGAAGAACCTAGGCCAGGCAGGTTTTTTTAGAAGTCAGGAGAAAAAGCCAGTAGAAAAATACCTAGGGGCTCTTTTATCCATTCTGAGACATGGCCCCCACCTCAATTCCTCTGAAGTCAGAATGCATTTCTTAACAAAAAGAATCTTAGAGCTGTACTGGGCTTTGATAGCTTTCTTGGTGGTACCTGAAACAGTGGTGCATCTTACATTCAATTTTGTGTTGGACCCTATGAAATATGGTGAGTACTATGATAGCTACAGCCCACAGCAGATGGCCTGGGAGAACCGGATCCTCCAGGCTAGCGGCCACCTCATCCTGAGGGCCACTCAGTTTGCCTTGCAGCTATGGCCCAGGGAGAGACTGTGCTGCATCTTCAAACCCTCCCCCCTTCAACAGTGTCCTCAGATGTCTTCTGTGTGTGCTCCACGATGTCTCTTTGTAGGTCTAGACTTCCGCTTTTTAGTGTAAGGACACAGCACAATCAGGTTAGGGCCCACTCTACTGACCTCATTTTGACTTAATTTCCTCTTTAAAGGCTTGCTCTCCAAGTGCAGTTGTGTTCTGAGGTGCTGGGATGGGAGAGTCCACATAAGCGCTTTATGAGTGGGGAAGCCAGAGACACAAAGCGGCCCCTAACGGTATCTGACATCAGCATCCATGATGCTCTCCGGCTGGTGCCTTCTTTGCACTTGCGTGGTCGTGGCCTGTGTCAGCAGGGACATATCCAGTCTGGACAGGTTTTCTTCCCGGTTATGTAAATCCTTGGATTTCATTCAGAAGATGTTTATTGAACATGCACTGCCTGCAAACCCCAGAGCCGGGAGGCAGAAGAGAACAGGAGCGTGTGCTTCCACGACGCAGGATGGCAATCAGTGGTATAGTTCTTGAGATAGTTATATCTGGATGAGAAAAGTGATCACAGAACTGTGGAGCCCTGGGAGCCCTGGAGAATGGGTGTTGGCCCAGGCAGGACAGCGTGCGTGGACTCCAGGGCGAGAGAGTTCTGAGCCAGGCTTGTTTTGCAGGATGTGTAGGGCCTGAGTATAGTTCTCCAAATTTTCCTCATTTGAAATGGAGACTGCTTCAGGGGGTTCTTTTAAGGATAAATGAAGTAGCATGTTGGAGATAATTTGGCAAATTCTCAAACCTTTCTCATGTATAGGAAGCTTGTAGGCAGACTCAGCACTGCTGTAGAAAGCGAGTCTGGTGGTGGATGTGAGAATGGGTAGGGGAGGGGACACGGGGAGTGGAGATCCATGGCCAACTGTGCAGGCTGCAGCCAGGGAAGGAAGAAGGTGGAAGAGGGGCAGAGAGTGCGGGTAAGTGGCCCTTCTGTGTCTCCAGGCCCTAACAGTGCTGGCACAGTGCTTTATGCTAGCAGGTCCCATGAGAGGCCTGTAGAATAAATGATGTCAGAAGCAGCCCTGGTTGCCGGATCAATATGTGTGTGCTGGTCTCCCACTGTGTGTCCACATGAGAAGAGGGACTGGTTGCTCAATTCAGCATCCATGGCAAACAGTGCTCCACAGCCTTAGAATTAGAAAACTTGCTGAGCAGTGACATCGCATGTCATCCCACGTGGGATCAGGCCTTTGACTTACCCCCGAGTGCCCAGAGTGGAGGTGCTGGGCGGGACACCATCTATGCTCTTCTGCCAGGAGCTCACAGAGTGTGTGTGTTGGACAAGAAGAGCTGTGTAGACACAGGCTGAGCCTTCCCTGCAGTCCTCCTTGATCTATTGTACTGAGTGTGTCCTGTTCCTTGGTGTAAGTAAGGAGAATTGCTGTTGGATGTGGTGCTCTGCTCACCCCAAATGGTATAAACTGGTGGTTTTGAATCCATGTGGGAACAAAGCACCTGGAAGTCATGTATTTCTTGTTCCAAACGTCTTGAAAGGCAGGTGAATTTAATTCCATTTTATGAAATTGGAACATTTTTGATAGCAGGAAAACTGACTATATTATACATGCATTATATTTCAATCACAACCAAAACACAGCCTGTCAAGCTGATGCCTCCCCAATCTGCTCCTGAGCCCTCGCTCTGCGTTCTCTGTGAGCACCACCGTCTCCTGGAGCTTGGTGCAGAAATCCTGTCGCTATCCTCGACTCTTCTCCCTGATTACCTCTGATCTCTTCCCTGTGCACATCTGTCCAGTGACCAAGTTCTGTGCTACTGACTCCCTCATGCCTAGCATTGGAGATACAACTCAGGGCCTTGCACGTGCCAGGCAAGAGCTGTCCCACTGAGCTACACCCCCAGCCTTGGGGGCTCCTGATTCTGAACACATCTCCGCACCCTCATTCCCACTACCTTCATGTAGGTCCTGTGGTCTCCTAGCTGAACTTCAGCTATGGCTCTCCCACGTCTGCACTGAGCTGTCCTCCACGTCAGAATGACCTCTGTAGAACAGCAGCACAATGGTGTTCTTCTCTACTCCAACTTTTCAGGGACTCCCACACTAACAAGACCCTAACCTGGCCCAAGATTGTCCCTCTGGGTTCCTTTTCTCCAACCTCACTGTCATGCCCTATATTTACCAGCCCAGGAGAATTACTTACTGTTGGTAGTTTTGGTTTCCTCCCTGCTGGAGCTTCTGTCCCCACTCAGTTGACTCAGCCTCTCCTCCTACTGCGTCTTAGATGACTCCTCCTTCTGGAAGTCTTTCTCCCTGGGATGGGATGCCTACTCTCCAGGGCTGTCACCAGATGTACCCTGAAGTAGCTCACTGCATGCTTGGGTTCCTGGCGTCCTGCTTGCTCTCTGGATCCCTCCCAACCATGCTCTGTACTGCATCCTCTCTCTTGTAGACATGAATCATCTGTCTTCTAGGCAGACCTGGTCATGTGATTCCTGCCACCCTTAGGGTTGATGCCAATCCCTGGCATGACTTTTAGGGCCTTCCATGACCTCCCCTCTGCAGCCTGCCCAGATTCCACTTGTGCCAGGACCCTGCGCATCCCCTGTCCTGGATGCCTTTCAGGTCCTCCACCAGGACTCTTATTATCCAACTGTATATTTTATATCTGCTTCCTGTGTCTAGAATCTTTCTCTTAGCACCCAACTCTTTAGCTAGATAATCACTACACAGCCTTCAGTTGCTGAACATCTTTTCAATATCATTTCCTCCAGAAATCTTTCCTCGAATATCCAAGCCAGGCAGAGATTCTCCCTCTCCAGTCCATTTCTTAGTACCTACCATCCATAGATTGAGTTGCTCCATTAATTGACTATGTTTCTTCCAGAATATGAGTTATAAAACCACATATTATTTTGTTCCTGTTGTTATCCTTGACTCCTCTTTGACTGTCCACATTTTTTGCTATATACAGATCAATGCTTGATAAATATTTATAGAACCAACAATAAATAAATGACTATTTCTGTTCCTACCACTAGAAGTCAGAACTCCTAACTAACTTATCTTTGTGTGTGTGATACATGGATTGTGCTTATAAGTGTCTTGAATGGATGAAAGAATGGATGATTGGCTTGATTCAAGATTACTTATTTTATTATGCACTTAAAACAATACACTTGTTCATGCCTTTCACCATCTGCAAATACTTCCTAGCAGAAGAGTGGTGGCAGGCCCCAACATGATTTTATTTTACTTATTTATTTATGTTTTGGTGCCGGGAATTGAACTCAGGACCTTGTGCTTGCCAAGCAGGTGCTTAAGCCACTGAGCTATCTTCTCAGCCCCAACATGATTGTAAAAGTGCTGATTATAAAAGTTAAAATCCTGAGTCTGGAGAATTGTCTTCGCTTTATTCCTTGCAGTTGGTAATAGGTGGTTCCCTGGGCCCCTCTGTGGAGGTAGAGTGCCCTGGAGATGCCCCTGCTCATGCCCTGTGTCCATTTTTCCTGCCAGAGCCTCGCTGCCCAGTGGCTCCGCTGCCCCAATGGATCCACTGAATCTGTCCTGGTACGATGCCGACCTGGAGCGGCAGAACTGGAGCCGGCCCTTCAATGGGTCGGAAGGCAAGGCGGACAGGCCCCACTACAACTACTACGCCATGCTGCTCACCCTTCTCATCTTTGTCATCGTCTTCGGCAACGTGCTGGTGTGCATGGCCGTGTCCCGCGAGAAGGCACTGCAGACCACCACCAACTACCTGATCGTCAGCCTGGCGGTGGCTGATCTGCTTGTCGCCACGCTGGTCATGCCCTGGGTCGTCTACCTGGAGGTAGGTGCGGCCGCAGGAGGAGGCCCTCTGCTGGAGCCCGGACTCCAGCTTCCCAATTGCTCCACCACAGGTTGCCTGCCACTCCCTCCTTTTCCTCTGGGCTCAATTTTTTTCCCCTTATCAGGTGGTTAGACTGTCTCCTTACTAAATGTAACTCCCATCTAGAGAGTACTTACTAAATGCTGGGCCTGGGGGGAATGCACAGCCCTGTGAGGCTGGCGTGGTCAACATTGTGCAGCTGGTGAACCAGGTGGTTGGAGAAGTTAGGCGATTTCTCCAGCAGCACACAGCTGGCAGGGCCAAAGTGCAGCTCTGTCTGGCTCCAGAAGTCACCCAGCAGGTGATGCTGGAAGTGGAACAACAGGTATGGACCCAAAGGAAGGAACGTGTTGTGCTCCCAGGCCTCAAGCCCTCCTCCCTCTCTCCTCACTCCCAGTGTCAGAAATGGGGCGGCTGCTCTGCACTTTCAAACTCCTCTCCATTCCCAGTCGATTCTGGCAGCAATGGCCAGCACCCCCAGGAAGAGGCTACCATCACCCACATGGCAGCCCCTTTGCTTAGGAAGAATTATCTAGCTCACTCTTGGGCCACTCAGGACTGCGCGCTCAACTCTGTGCCTTGGCATGAGGGGCAGCCAGCACCGTGGTGTGGCCCCAACACTTGGCCACGTGTGTTGGATGCACTGATCAGGGAACCGTGGGAGTCGATGCTACCCTCCCTACTTCCCAGGAAGCAGAGGCTTTGAGAAGAAGCTGCTGTCTTCTCCCAGGTCCTGTAGCAAAGGAAGAAGGCCGAGGAGGGTACCTCCCAAGCAGATGGGCCCCAGACTGGCAGGCAGATGTGGGATGGCCAAGGGGTGTCAATGGGCACAAGCTGGGTCCTGTCCCATTTTCTGCCCAGAATTCTAGGGTTACCTGTGTAGGACTGATTTGTGTGTCTGGAAAAGCTGATCAGGCGCTGGGGACCATGCCACGACTCAGGTCTCTGAGCTGTCGTTTCTGCCACCCTGAGCATGAGGTGGATTCACCTAAGTCACAAAGACAAGGCCTCTGTCTGGGCTGGAAGGCTCCTGTTGTTGAAAAGAAGGACATCTGTGTAGGGCTGAGCACAGGAGATGGCTAGAAGCAGGAGCTCAGGTGGGGTGGAAGGCTGATGCAATCTGGCCTACCTGCCGGTCCCTAGGCTCCCAAGAGGCCTCCTGTGGAACCCACCTCCTGGTGCCCAGGGAGCTCTGGCCCATCTTTCCCATGGTCTTGTTAGAACAGCCAGAATAGTCTAAAACTTTCAGAATGATCTAACTGAATAGTAAAGAATAATCCACAAAAAGTGAAATAAATTAAAAGAAAGCCACATAAAAATGTGGGCTGGATTTCTAATTCTTTATGGCTCACATGTATGGGAAGGCCCTAGATTCTGTCCATCCCATATCCTGTCTGAAAGCTTCGTGATTCTCAGGCTTGACCCCCATCTAGTTCCTTCCAAAGCAGAGTCCTAGACACCAGACCATCGGCAAAGAGTCGTGGGTAACGTGGAAGAACAGGAAGCTTCCGCACGCTTCAGTCTCCTGATCTGTACTGTGGGAACAGTGATAGGACCTGCCATGTAGACTAGCTTGAGGCTCAATGAGTCACTCTATGAAGGATGCTTAGAATGGTGCCTTGCATGGGGGAAGCATGCAAGGGTGATGAAGACAAAAACAGTGGCAGAGTATCCCACATCTGTCCACCCAGAGAGACTGCTCCAGTCCTCTTGGGGCCCCTCCGTATCCAGCCAGAGGGACACCCTCTCCCCAGAGTGAGCAGTGTTCTCCTGGGGCTCTGGACATGACTTCTGCTGTTGCCCACACTCCCTAGCCCTACCTAGACCTAAGGGCAGAGGCAAATCTCTGCACAAGCCACATCAGGGTCCTGAGCAATCTAAATCTCTCAAGCAAGTGTTTTAAACACCTTTAAAATTTTCCCACCATTATTTTAAAGGTGAAGTCAAGTGTGTCATCAGGCAGCACGCAAACAGGCAATTTCTCAGATAGTACCCAGAATCTCCCATATAATCCCTTTAAAATAAGACCATGGCCATAAGCCCCAATTAAAGGATGTAATATCCTCAACTTGTTGTCTCTGGTGGAATGTTGCCCAGCATTCTGTTACTACATACTGTACTTTTTCCAAGAGATGCTATAGTTGTCTGGACTGTTTCATCCTATTCCATTTCTAGCAGTGCTCAATGTGCCCCATAGTCTGCATGCCGTCCTCTGTCTGTCCTGGGACTGTTTTGCCCCCTACGTGACAGACATGCTGCGTTTGGGTGGGAGGAGTGGGTTCGCATCCCAACTCCATCTCCTTTCATTGATAGCGGTGGGGAAGTGCCGACAACTGGCAGGAAGGGGTCACCTGCCTGCTTGCAATTCCACTGAGGCTCCATCTGCTCTCCTAAGGTGACGCTCACTGTGTACACTTACTAGAAGTAGACATTGGAGAGGTGATCAAAGGCCTGGGGAGACAGATCAGTGGTGGAGCTCTTGCCTGGCATGGATGGGGCCCTGCGTTCAATCTCAGCACCACGAGAGGAAGCAGCCAGGGGGAGGCTAATGTCTCTCTGTACTACTGCCTCCCTCACCTCCCTCCAAAACATCTGTGCAGACTGAGTAAATGGGTTTGGAAGTGGGCTCCATGTGGAATGATCAGAAGCTGAAAAAGCTAAGGCCATCTCCAGAAAGGCAATACTCATGAACTCATTCAGCAAGTGTTTTCTGAAAAGATGAGCAGAGATCTCAAAGTTATTTATTCACTTGTTGAACATTTCCATCTTAGATGTTGGGGTCCCAGGCACTGGCCTGCTGTGCAGGAAGACAGAGCCCTAATATAATTCTGTTTTCTGGAGGTGACATGGAACAGTCCCCCAGAGACAAGGGGAACGGTGGGAGGGGGGCACAGGGCCCAGCCTGGAGCTGTTGGGAAGACTTCCAGAAAGAGCTAACACTTGGGAAAGATTATCCAGGAGAAGCAGTAAAGCAGAAGCACCCCCTAGGAGAGGAGGAGCCAGAGTCCTTAACTGAGGGTTGCCAGCGTCATTCCACGAATCTGAACACCATGTGTTCGAAGCAGCAGCCGACACACTAAGTTCTGGGTGTTATTTTAGTTAGCCTTTCAAGATGTCAGTGAAAGATGCCCCAAAGTGTGGAGGAGCAATCTTTTGTGCAGCTACAAAACCTGGGCTTGTCCTTCCCCTGCCACTAAATCTCCAAGTGCCCTCAGGCAAGTGTGTTTTCTTCTGTGACCCTGTTTGCCCACCCTTGGCGTGGTGGTCTCTCCTTGCCATGTCTTGTACGCACCGAGTGCTTCTTATAGATGATTCTGTCATTTCTCGAGTTAGGTGGTTCCTTCTAAGATGGTGTCAGTGCTTAAAAAAAGTGAAGGATGTGATGCCCAATGAGCTTGTCCCACATCCCAGCCCCACTGCCGCCTTCTGGGTGAACTTGGCCATGCTTCCTGGCCTCTCTGAGCTTCAGTTCCCTTACCTATAAAAGGAGCAGACAGTCTCTTCTTGTAAGACTTTTAAAAACAATAAATGAGATAAAGTACAGTGCCCAGAGTAAATATCCCATAAAGTGGCTGCCAATGTGACGCTTCTCTTGGGCTTTTGAATGGCCACCCCTAATTCCTCTGCAAAGCAGGTACTCCTGAGACCAGAGGAGAAAGCCCTCTCTAGGCGGGCTGCGAGGTGGAGGGGCTGAAGAGCATCTTGAGAACAGGTTCTGTATGCGTCTGGTTTGCGTCTGCATCCAAAAGCCTAAGATAAGGACTAAGCTGCTCAGTAAGAGGCTAGAAGGACAGTGGGGATAAGGGAAGGAAAAAGGAGACAGAGACACAGGGCCTGAGCTTTCAGACCTGGATCCCCAGGGACACGGATGCAGCTTCTAGATGCCAGTCCTAGGACAGGCTTTAAGGTGAGGTGAGTGTGAATCAGATGAACTTAGCTACATCACCCATCCTTGAGCTCAAATGCCAGGGTTTGGTTCTATGCCTGGGTAGAAGAGAGGGCAGTGGTGAGAATGAACAACGTGGTCATTAGCCCCACTGCTATGCTGAGCTGGGACACAGTTGGTGCTGCCCTGCTGTTGTCACCAGAGAGGTCTTTGTCACTTCTTTCTTTGCAATGGACAGAAGCCAAAGATGTCCTCAGTGGTTGAGTAGCTCCGCACTTCCTGAGGTGCCAGTGCCAGCCAGCTATGTGATTGTATATGTAGTGTGAATGATAGGCTGGGGATGTGCAGGTGTACATGCAGGTGTGTGAGAATGTGTGTGTGTGTGCATGTGTGTGTGCACGATGGTCAGGAGTTGAACTCCTGGTTGCTCATCAGTCCAAAGACATCACTACAGCTCCTCTTCCCTAGCTTGTCTTGGTGTTTCTGTTGCTCCAGCCCAGACTTTTTTTTTACCCTCTAAAGATAATAAAGAGAAGACGGTTCTTCCCTGTCTCGTAGTGAGTCACTGTCTTCACAGACAGTTTTCGGGCCCTGACTCTGCCACACACTCCAGGCTGAGCATGGCCAGGCTTGCCCAGCTCATTCAGAGCTTGTGCTAGTGAAGGAGGGCCCCAAGGTTGTGAGCAAGTCGCTGTATTTTTCTGAGGCCCAGTTTCATTCCTGGAAAGTACAAGTATTCTAAAATTATACCTGGGGTTCAGTTTCCAGTTATAACCAAGCAATGACACAGAGGGCAGTGACATTGAGAAAAAATGCAACGCTATTCACAGTTCTCTCAGGAAAGGACAGCCCAGCCAGTGGAACACCCACCAAGCTTGGGTCAGGGGCAAAGGGAAGGCCAGGAGAAAACTCATGCTACAGAGTCTGTTAGAGTTTCCATGGGAAGTGCAAGGCAGGATGGGCAGAGCAGTTTAGGATCATGCGGTCTGTTTAACTCTGTAGCATTAGAGCCAAACGAATGGCCCCTAGTTACCTCACTTCGGGCCCCAGGATGATTTAGGACACAGGAAATATTGGTTTGATACATGAGAATATGAAGGGAGTGACTGGCCTGCACGTGAGAGGTACTGGCCTGCTACTGAGTAAGTAGTGTACTGTGTTTATAGAGGAGTGGACTCTGGGAGGGACAGTCTCTCCCCAAGACTGGACACAGTTGGTGCTACCCTGCTGGGATCTAAGCCTGGGGTTTCACAAAGAGCATCAGAAACAGAGCACGAACGATGTGGTTAATACAGGTTTTGCTTTGATGAATGACAGCAAATAGACCAAGAAAACCCAGAGGGCCGCAGAGTGATCACACCAATGTCTAACAGATTAAGGTTCAAAGACGAGGCACTCCATTCAAGTGAGTTGTCTCTCTCCTAGTCAAGTTTTTGGCACAAACTTGTATGTCTAGGAGAATAGAAGTTGGGCACGTGGGCCTCAGATCCCCACGGGCACTCTCTCCATTGCCACCTCTGCTCTAGTTGTGACTCACAAGAGGCCCACAGCTGTCCTCTGAGCCCCCAGCCTGATCTGCTGCTGGTGGCCTGAGCCATGCTGTAAGCTACTGTCCTCCTCCCGTTGCCCACATGGTGTGCTGCTTTGTCCCCAGGTGGTGGGCGAGTGGAAATTCAGCCGGATCCACTGTGACATCTTCGTCACTCTGGATGTCATGATGTGCACAGCGAGCATCCTGAACCTGTGTGCCATCAGCATTGACAGGTGAGTCCGGGCAGCCTGGGGGTGGGGACCCTGGCCATCCACCTGTCTGTCTGCCCCAACCTCTGCTCGGGGTCAGGCAGTATCTGTGATGCTGCTGTAGGACTGGCTGTGTGTGTGAGTCCGTGTGTGTGTGTGTGTGTGTGTGTGTGTGTGTGTGTGTTGGGGGGCCAGGATAGTACAAACTGCTGAAAGGGAAGGTAGTACAAACATCTTTAGACTGTGAGGCTCCCAAAAATACCTACACAGTGACTGCTTTGAAAGAGAAAGTACTTGGTACTTGGTACTGTGCTGGGGAGATAGCTCATTAGAATAAGCACTTGCCTGGTGAGTGCAGGGTCCTGAGTTCAATCCCCAGTATTGAGGGAAAAAAAGAAAGAAAGTACTTGATACTGATGAAGCCCTGGCTCCATCATTTTCTTTCCTCCTCCTCCTCCTCCTCCTCCTCCTCCTCCTCCTTCTTTTTTTTAATCTTTTATTTATTTATTTGGTACAGGGTCTTGCTATGCAGCTCCGACTCACAGTAATCCTCCTGTCTCAGCCTCCCCAGCACTGGGAAACCATGCTCAGTTTTGGAGGCTGGCACAGCATGCCCAGGGTTCTGGGGCTGGCACAGAGAGTAGTATCAGGGATGGAACCTGGGTCCTTGTACTTGCCAGGCAGGCACTTAGACTACTGAGCTATCTCTCCTGCCTGTCATTTTCTATTTACCTGATCTTGCTAAAGTTCTTGGACTTCCCAGTTTCATTGTCTGGGCAGGGAATACAATGAGACCTTCCTCCTGACGCTGCAGAGTTTGGTTTTGCATTTCATGCCCAGTTCTGGCCATGGCACTGTCACACCTGCTAAGCAGGCTGTGGAGAGCCTTTCACTAATTTGCCCCAGTGTGCCATACAGGCTTCCTGTGCTACTGCCCCAGCTCCCTCACGGCATTTGTGGAAGATAACTGAGTGCCTCAGATGCATTGGGTAGAGGAATGTGAGGGAAGACTGTCAAGAGTCATCATTTTAAATCTTTCCCGGTAAATAGGGCCAATTCCTTGCTCTGAGAGGCCTGGCCACCGGTCCGTCAGCAAGCACTTCCACCTTCCACAGGCCCATCCTAAGTGAGGGGCGAAGACCCAGGCCATGGCTCCTCAAAAGCCCAAAACCCAAGTGGACGTGGCCCAGAAGTCCACTGAGCTGGCTCACCTGTGTTGGATGGGGCATCCCCAGCCATCCTCACTGAATGTGGGGACAGGAGGGAGAGTTGAGAGGGACTATGAGGCCAGCTCCATGGAGGTGATCGCTGGCCCAGCCCCTGGGTCCAGGCATCTATTGTGTGTGCATTCTGTGGAATGGAGGGCCCCTGGGCCTGCACCCCACATTCACTCCCTCTCACAGGTACACAGCTGTGGCCATGCCCATGCTGTACAACACACGCTACAGCTCCAAGCGCCGGGTCACCGTCATGATCGCCATCGTGTGGGTCCTGTCGTTCACCATCTCCTGCCCGCTGCTCTTTGGACTCAATAATACAGGTGAGTCTTCCTCTGTCTAGGGCGGGAGTGGCTTCGGATCCCTGCCCTTGTGCTGAGAGTCCTGCTGAGTCCATTCCCCACCCTGGGCTGAGGTTGGCCTGGCTTTTCTAGGTCCAGCCCCACTCAGAGTTGTTCCAGGCTGGGCTAGAGAGGAAACAGCAGCTGAGGGCATGGCTGAGTGGGCTGAGGAGTGGTGAAAGTCGCTCTGGAGAAAGTCTGGCCATTTTCAGCTTTATGAAATTGAAGCAGAGAGCTTCACAAAGTGTGTGTGTGTGTGTGTGTGTGTGTGTGTGTGTGTATGTGCGCACACACGTGTGTGTATGACTCCCCATTGACCCCTGCCAAGGTATTTTCGTGGTAAGGCTTCAGCCTCGTGGGCTGTCTGAGCCCAGTCCAGATCTGAGCTACCTGGAGAGGGAAACCAGAGAAAGCAGGAAGTGAGCTCCCCTGGGAGCTCCCTACAGCTGCACAGCACCTCTGGCAGAAGAGACACAGAGTCCCTGCTGGAGTGTAGCTGCTTCCTGTCGGGGAGGCCAGAGCTGGGCAGTAGCCCCTGGAGACCAGAGCAATGCAGAGCGCAGGGAAGCCTAGAGAATGTGTGGTATGAAGTCAAAGTGTCACAGGAATTCTAAGAAGTGAGAACAGAGCTATGGTTGGATTAACCCAGGAAAGCCCTGAGATAGAGAACAAACATCTGGTAGACCTAGAGGGACCTTGGGAGCACACAGAACACACTGCAGCACAAGTGAGTCCAGGGCACAGGACCGAGCTGTCTTGCTCCTAAAGTTAGCACGTGGTGGGACTCCCCGCCCCAGCAGGCAGCCGAAGATGGAATAATGCCTTGTCCTTTGGAAAAGAACTCTTGTGTCCCTTCTGCGTATTGCGGGTTTACTTGTGTGCTCAGAGCAGTCAAAACTAATGCTTAGTAACCTAAGAATGAACAAGTTTGGAAGCAGTTCATTCTGGCTCAGCTTTTGCTTATGATGATTGTGGTCTTAATACTCTGGTTTGTACCTGTGCATCGATTTATGACTGACACTTCCAAGGAGCCTTTAGCATCTCATCATAGGCTCTGTAAGACTGCTCCTCATTCCCACAAGGAGACAGGGGCGGTGTGGCATGGTGGCCAGGGGCCAGCGATGCCCTCCCACTTCTGGTCCTCTTTCCCCCAGACCAGAATGAGTGCATCATCGCCAACCCTGCCTTTGTGGTCTATTCCTCCATCGTGTCCTTCTACGTGCCCTTCATTGTCACGCTGCTGGTCTACATCAAGATCTACGTCGTGCTCCGCAAGCGCCGCAAGCGGGTTAACACCAAGCGCAGCAGCCGAGCTTTCCGGACCACCCTGAGGGCCCCACTCAAGGTCCACAGACCCTGCCTCCCCTCCAAGTGTCCCTCCCTAAGCGGTCCCAGGGTGGTTTGTCCCTTGCTCAGGTGGGGACTGGGGCACCACAGCAGGGCTGTGGTCCAGGCTAGAGGAGTGTCCAACAGGCACACGAGAGTATGGGTCTCTGACAAGGGACTTGGGTGTCCAAGGGTGGGAGGTGGCATCCGTGGTGGCACCAACTGGACAGAGAAGTCTGCCCAGAGTTCTTGTGACTGAGGCAGTTGGTCCAGCCTGGCACCTTCCTGCTCCCCTCTTCCTCTTTTCTTAGCTCCTCCCTCCTGCTCTGTCTCGCTCTCCTTCCATCTGTCTCCTCCACTACAGTCTCTATTCTGCTCACCTCCTGCATCTGTGTCACTTCTTTCCTACTTCTATTTTCTGTTCTCTCAGCTCCTTGCTCTTCTGCTCAAGAATTCTCCCCTCTACTCAGCCTTGTCTGAGAAGGCTGTGTGCAACTTTCAGGTTACACATAGCAGGTGTGAATCCTGGCACCGCCCCCTGTAGGCGGAGTGACCAGGGGCAAATTACTTAACCTCTGTAAGCCTCAGTTTCCTCATCTGTTAAATGGAAATTGTAATATGGACTTCACAGGGTGGGCTGAAGATTCATCATGAGAAGAGATGTCAGCATACTCGAGAAGTGCTGGAGCCTCAGAGCTCCACAAAAGTCAGGGTCCTTTTGTCCCTCCTCCTGCCTACTTCCTTTCATCGCAGCACTGACTTCAACGCTATCCCGACTGCCTTCTGCAGCCCCACTCTCCTGGTCTTTGAGCCCTGCTGTAGTTTGAGGTCTCCATAGAGCTGGGGTTCCTGTCTCCCTGTGCCCAATTCCCCCACCGTCTCGTGTGACCCATGTGCTGGCTCACTCCACAGGGCAACTGTACTCACCCTGAGGACATGAAACTCTGCACCGTTATCATGAAGTCTAATGGGAGTTTCCCAGTGAACAGGCGGAGGATGGTAAGTGTTCAGGTCAGGGATCCATAGCCGAGGTTTCTGTCCTGGGGGAGCCCACCAGCCATGACTCTGCACCCGCACCAACTGGCCAAGGAGAGAAGCACCTCCCAGCGTCCCCTGCACTGCCCAAGCCGAGGGCAGGCTGCCCATGCACACCTCCAGGCAGGTGTGGAGCAGGACCTACACGGCCCAGTCCGCAGAAAATTGTTGGCATGACAGACTCGGCCATAAAAACAATAAACATGGTAAGAGTAGCTATTCTTACTTCTCACACACCTAGGGAGTTCCAATTATCTCATCAAATCTTCACCACGACCCTGGAAAATAAGTCCAATTGATTTTATTATTAATCTTCTCTCTCAAAAGAGGAAACAGAGGCTCAGAGAGCTTAGGTAACTTCCCCACATCTGAACAGTGGCAGAGCACATATCTGAACCCAGATCTCTGTTACTTTCAAGTCCTCACCGCATTCCTTCCACTGGCATGTGCTGTCATACAGCCAGGCAGGCTTTGGGACTGGAGGTGGGTAGCTGGGAAGACAGCAGCAGGATGGCTCTGGGGCTAGGGACCACAGGTGCAATTCTGGGCATAGCCTTGGCACTGAGGTCCAGGCAGCAGGTGTTGCACACGTGTGTGCATCTGCACACACACATGCACACACACATGTGGGCAGAATATAGGTCAGGGCACCCACACAGGGCCACAGGCAAAGTCCGGGTCAGATGTCCTTGGGAACCAGGATTCCCACCTCTCACCTGAGCTCCAAGGGCATCACTTCAAGAGCTGTTTATGATGCAGGTACCAAAACAAGGACCCAGGATAGGTTCAACACAACAACTCAGTTGCCCAGCAACCCATCTGGGCACATAGACTGGCTGCATTTTAGAAGCTGGAGCTAAGACCTCTGAGGCCTCAAACAGGACAGCCTAAGGAAGGGCTGGGAGACTGTGAGTGGACCTACACCAGGCCCCCCAGGTCGGGTCAACAGGGAAGCTGTGGGGCCCCAGGGGTCAGCTGTTTGGCAGCTGGGTCAGTCTAGTTTGCACATTGGTGCAGGTGCCCACGAAGCAAGACCACTGGGCCTGTGGTTCAGCCCAGCAGGAGGTACAAGGGTGGGGATTCTCCAGAGAGCTAGAGCGTGAGCACTTGGAAACAGGACTGAGTATCATTCCGGGATTTATCCCTAGCAGCCAGCTTGGGAACTGGCACTTAGGCGGCACTCAGTAAGTGTTGCTCAGGTAACAAAAGAGAAGCCTCCAGAAATTGGTTTGGGGTATGGAGACTGCAAAAGGATTGCTCTGGGAAGTGGGCTCTGGCTCCAGACAACCCCTGCCTCTGTGACAGCTCTCCTCAGCCCCCTGGCAGAGGAGCCCTGTGTTTGCAGGAGTTTTCAGGGGGAAAGAAGGGGAGAAGAGGAACACAGGAGCCTAGGTGGCTGCCGCCTAAGGCCACACCTAGCTTCACCCAGCGCTCTCTGCTTGTGGTGCAGGAGGCTGCCCGCCGAGCCCAGGAGCTGGAGATGGAGATTGTCTCCAGCACCAGCCCACCCGAGAGGACCCGGTACAGCCCTATCCCGCCCAGCCACCACCAGCTGACTCTCCCCGCCCAGTCCCACCATGGCCTCCACAGCACTCCCGACAGCCCCGCCAAGCCAGAGAAGAATGGGCACGCCAAAAACCACCCCAGGATCGCCAAGTTCTTTGAGATCCAGTCCATGCCCAATGGCCAAACCCGGACCTCGCTCAAGACCATTAGCCGCAGGAAGCTCTCCCAGCAGAAGGAGAAGAAAGCCACTCAGATGCTCGCCATTGTTCTTGGTGAGTCAGCTTGCGCCAGGGAACCGGTCCATCGCTGCAGATCCTAGTCCCTGCCAGCCCCGCTGACCTTCACTGGTGAACCTTGGCCGGCATGTATATCACAGGTTCAGCGCATTCTCAGGGCCAGGCCGTGCTCGTTGACACGCAGACAAGCTCTGAGGCACAGTCCATAGGTGCGCTCCTTTTACAGATAGATGGGCGAGCTCAGGTTTGATGTGGCTGTATGACTTGACCAAGAAGAACTCCTGATTTGAACTCAAGCAGTTGGACTCTAGAGTCCGTGGGCTTGACCAGCCTGCTTTAGGGCCACCAAGGCTCATGTCCTCAGCCAGGCCCCTTTCTATCTTTGATCCTCTGCCTGTAGAGTAGATAACCTCTCAGGACTTTGTTGGGGCCAGACGGCATAGGTTTGGTGGACATATTTTTAAACTCTGGAAGCAGAGCATGTCCCTTATGTTTTTAACTATTGCTGTTTTGTAGAACTGAAAAATAAACATACTCAGCCACATCTCTGTGGAATGAGAGCTGTGAAAATAAGCAGAGGGCTCTGACCTAAGGGAGAGAGTGGCCCGGTCCACTAAGCAGGACTTTCGAATGAAGTTCTCCTAGAAATTCATGTAATAAAGGTCACAAACTAAGAGGATGGTTGAGGGAAGGAGGGCCCAACGTGATTCTGCCTTCTGTGTACCACCTGAGAGGGGCTTTCATAGCCCGACAGCCCTGGGATGGGAGTAGACAAGTGCCCCTGTCCTCTTCTCATGCTTAAAAGCATGTTGTCCCAACAGGCTAAGGGGACTACCACGATCACGTGACTAGGACATGGCAAAGCCATGCTGGAGCAGTATGTCCTGCAACTGCCATCCACAGGTGCTCTGTTCCAGGCACCTGCTCTTCCCAGATAGTACTAGGGCCCTGAAGGGGCCCCCTGGGTCTCCGTGCTGAGTGTCCCTTCAAAGCAACTGTGCTGGAGAAAGCACACACCAGGGCTGGGGAGACAGCTCAGTCGAATTAGTACTTGCCTGGCAAGCACAAGGTCCTGAGTTCAATCCCCAGTACTGGGGTGAGGGGGAAGCACACCTCAGTCAGACAGGAGGGCCCCGGGAAATCCCTGTGAGTGAAAGAATGTGCTGTCCCAGCTGCACTAGCAAACATGAGGCCTGGAAGGTAAGGGAGCAGCACGGGGGAGGCTGGAGCAAGGATGGGCACAGTTCTTCGGGAACCTAGACAGACTGATGCCACATGGCTGTGCTGCTCTGGAGTAGAAAGGTCTAGGGTGTATCTCCGAGCAATCATGGGACTCAGCTTCCAGTCAGCCTCCTGCAGACGCTGTGAAAGCTAAGTGGGATAGGGGTTTAACGCCTCCTTTTTGAAAAGTTTGTCTTGTGCACTGCCATGAACAAGAAACATTTCCTTCACTGCCAGAGTGAGAGAGACACGATTCTCAAGGCCCCTGGGAAGTGGCCTAGGTATTTCCGTGTCCCCTGGCTACCATGGGGCAGAATGCCAGCATAGGGCTTATTTTTAATCTGCTTCACCTTCCCCAGAAGGGAGTCACTATTCTATCCCCTGGGCAGGTAAGGAAAATAAGGCTGGGGAGGCGAAGGGACCCTTCTTCAAGGGCGAGCGTCAGAGGTGGCTGCACAGCCAGGTCCTCGGGTGGGACGGGTGCCCTGGTCCCATCCCCCGCTGGATCCTGGCCCGACCCTGCCTCTCCCACAGGCGTGTTCATTGTCTGCTGGCTACCCTTCTTCATCACGCATATCCTCAACATACACTGTGACTGCAACATCCCGCCAGTCCTGTACAGCGCCTTCACATGGCTGGGCTACGTCAACAGCGCCGTGAACCCCATCATCTACACCACCTTCAACATCGAGTTCCGCAAGGCCTTCATGAAGATTCTCCACTGCTGACTCTGCCGCCCGCTTGCGCAGCAGCCGCCTCCCACTCCAGGCCTGGGTTCTCCAGGCCTCGTTCCTGCGAGCCATGGGCAGAAAGGCCCCAAGAGACTGGGCCCTGCAGTGTTACCTTGGCTCTGTGCCCCCTGCCCTCACACCCTCCCTCTGCCAGTGCGAGGCAGAGCTGGGCAAGGCACTAGCCCCGGGACTGGACCTATGGCTCAGAGCAGCTCACAGGGTCTCCCTCCCACCTGCAGGCCCTCTCTCCTTGGCACCAAAGATGCAGCCGCCCTCCTTGACCTTTCTCTAGGGTCTGGGGTCTCTGGATTACTGGGGCCAGAATCAAGGCTGAAAGGGCAAGCACACTTCCTTGGGATTCCCCTGTTTTTCATGGGCCTGTGCTGGGGTAGGAGGGATGGTTCACACCCTACAAAGTTCGAACAGGGAAGGCCCTAGAAACTTCAGCCCTGGGAGAGCCATGTAAGTACTAGGACCCCAGAGGTGCCCAAGTCAGGAATCTCAGCTCCATCCCCAGTCCCAAAGCAAGCCCTATCTTCCACAGCTCTGGTCCTGACTCCCTGCACTCCGTTCCAGCTCCCCTACAGTTTCGACACCCTTGGAGGGAAGAGCCCTAATCTCCAAGGGCCCCAGGAGGATCTGTGGAGAGGGAAACACCGGCTCCGCTCACCACCTCAGCCTCCTCCCATCTGTGAGCCTGTGCTGGCCAGCCTGGGAAGTCAAGTATTGGACCCACATCTGGGCTGAGTTGGGGTGTTTGAGGTTCTTTGAGAGTTTACCTCCTGCCACACTCTGACATAAAATCTCTCCATTTCTGTTCCTTCTGGCTTCTTCTCTCTCCCCTGTTCTTTCTCTTCCCATGCCTCTGCCTTAGAAGAGCCCATGGCTAAGGACTGCTGAGTGCCCATTGGCCTGGCTGGGCCCCGCTCTGAGGGAGGAGGGGAAGCTGCAGCTTGGAGGGGCCCCCAGGCTCCAGACTCTGTAACATCACCATAAATGCACCAAAATAATAAAACTTCTACAATAAATAACTCTCAAGGGCCCCTGGGTGGCCTGGAGCAGTCCCAACACCTTCCAGAGCTCCTGAGTTGGGGCGGGTCCTTCTGGAGGGATGCCAGGTGTTCCTGCCTCTCCAGGTCTGGTGTGCCTGAAGGTTGGCTCTTCCTTTGGCACCTTCTCCACCAGGGCAGAAGAGCTCCTTGGAAAAAGTGGCCTTGGAGGTGTGGGCCTTGCTCCTGTGTCTCTATCCTTCATCCTGTCTCTGTCTCGTGCCCCGCTCTCCAGCTCTGGGGCAGGTTGCAGAAAGTAGACCGGCAAGAGTGCTGTGGCCTGCACACCTCTCTGTCCTCTCTCTTCAGCCAGTCCACAGCTCGACATTTTCCAGGGCTGCCGCTCAACCCTGCCCTGAGGACAGCAACGTGGCTTAAGAAAATGAAATATAAATCCACCAGTGGAAGAGGGATGTTCTCACCACCTTGAGAATAACAGTGGTGATGACAAACAAGGTGGTGGCACCCACGGCTCAGGCTCTGGGGAGCTGTCAGTGCATAATTTGCATGCTGAATACAATATTTTTAGCACCAAAGTTCGGCGCACTTAACTTGCCCTTAACACTTAATTATGGACTTTGATCTATCCTTGAAACTGAATGTATTGCTAATCCTGGGAGAGTTCCTGTCCCCAGGAGCACCTTGATTTCAGAGGTGAGGGATAAGCAGATCCCTCGTGCAGCTCAGGGCAGCCAATAATAGTGACCTCCTTCTGAGGTCCGGAAGTGTTGGGGACCTCTCAGCAGCTGACCTCACTTATAACCAGCCAGCCGGCACATGCACGGTGGATGATCTTGACCTGGATGGCGCTTGCACGTTCATCCTGTCATTAGACGCCATGAGGGCATATGAGTGCATAGCTGTGAGACTTGGAAAAGATGATACAGAGAGGCAGAGAACGAGCAACGAAGGACTCCGAGCGGGAGGGGAAGCAGGACCCAGAGCAGTCTGAGAAAAACCCTGTCAGAGAAAAGAGGGCAAGAGGGCAGGGCAGGGGCGGGAGGCGGGGCAGGAGAGAGGTGCCCACAGTTGTCAGGAGGCTTCAACTCTTTCTTCCAGACAGCAGATTGACAGCTGGAGTGGGCAGGGGGAGGGCTGGGTTCCGCCCCCTCCCCCCTCAGCTCTTCAGGGGCTAAGCAATGGTAGGAATGGGACTGGGGAGCACAGAGTGGAAGGAGTTCCCTTCCGGGCTCCTTCAGGTGGAGGAGCACCCTGGGCTCTGGCCCTGCCCATGGAGGCTGTGGCCCTGGCCCGCTTCTTGTGGCAGTGCAAGCACCTCCTCGATGTTCCAGCTGTGTTCTGTGCGTATGTCTCTGTAAGATGCCTTTAAATCTAAGCAATCCAGGCAGCTTTGCCTTTACAGGGGATGGAGTCTGCAGCGCTCTCCCACTTCCTAGAGTGCAGCGCTCTCCTCACTTCCGAGAGTGCAGCCCGGGTCACTGCCTAGCGCCAGGCTTGGCCAGGCACTGTGCACAGCCATCTCGGGAGAGAACCTGAGTCAGGCAGCTACAGAGAAGCAGATCCAGCTGGGGTTGCCCATGCACAAGGCTTCAGGCCCTTATTCTTCCCCAGGAGATTTTGAAGGAGTCCCCAGTGACCACGTGCTAGGAGAGGGGTCCTGGGACCTGCGAGGGTCGGTGGTTCCCTGTTTCATCCTTTCATCACCCTTCCACTGTCTTGCCTGGTGGATATTTATTGAGCAGTTATTATACTTCAGGTTTTCGGTGAAGTGCTGGGAATAAAACAGTGCAGAGGGGGGTCATGATCCTGCCTTCCTGGGTTCGCAGTCTGATGGGTTGATGGACCCAGCAGTTACATAATAAGGTATGCATTCCAGCCCTCCCCAAGGAGAGCTCTGGCTGGGTCTACCAGGACCCCGTGGAAAGCAGCAGAGCACAGGGAAGCGCTACACAGTCTAGCACCATTTCCCTGGGGTGCCTAGACTTGATGCAGGTGGACAGTTGGCCCAGGCAAGAAGACTGCAGCAGGGAGAACTTCCTGGGGGGCTGGGCAAGGTGCGTGCAGGAGAAACAACTGCAGAGCCTGCTGCCTAGGTGTCTCAGAACAGGAGCAGCCGCGGACCTGCAACTAGCAGCACGGAAAGCTGGTGTGCCCGGGAGCACTCCTAGTGTCAGCATTTAGCTGGGGACCACCTGGGTCCCCAGGAGCTGCGTGAGTGTCTTTCCCTGCCCACTGGCTAACTGACAACCAGGTCCCAGGACCCTTGTGGCTTTGGCTCACATCTGTGCAGGGGCTGCTGCTGGCTTGGGCCTTCCTGATTGGGATTCCCATTTCTGTCCCCCATGGCAGCATTCCTAGCGTTACCTCACAGAAGAGAAGCTGCTCACCTGAGGTGGGTGGTTTGTTCCGGTGGCCAGGCTGACCCTGGCCTACTGCAGTCCAGCTTCCTGACCTATATACTTAAGCAGCTGGAAGAGATGAATGGTCAAAAGTTTTATGCTTTAAAATCAGGTAGAGGAAAAAATATTTAGAGTTAGCTAGGACATCCACGGCATCTGTATTTCTCCGACCAGGCTGTCTCCAGTACTGCCCTATCACACCCAGCAAAGCACCTTGTGCTTGAAAAGAGCCCTTTGGAGGCCAGACTCTGAGCTGTCTCCAAGGCAGAAACAGGGATAGAGTGGCCCAGAGAGGAAGTCAATTGCCGCAGAAGAGACAAGCTAGTACAAGCTGTGAATTGCTCTCACTGGGAGGTCTCAGCAGGCAAGATGGGCTAATGGGGTTGCCTTTGCCCAGTGACTGACCCCATGCTATTTGGTAAGTCTCATGTTCCGAGCTCACTGCAGGGCACTGAAGAAGTCTCCTTTTCCTTCTTAGAACTCACTGGTAAAGGAAACCAGGCAGCTGTCTTCTAGAGAATCCTCCCCTCCAGGCTCCCAAAAGTTGAGTTTCTCTGCCTTATCCCAGAGAAACGTTCTTCTGATATAGGACAATTCTTCAGGAAACTAAAGAGTTGGGCGCTTCCTGCCTTGCCCTTTGGCAGATTTGCTCCGGATTTAACTATTACAGTAAACTAGGGAGATAAACATGGTCATTGCTAGATGAAGTGACCAAGGCTAAAGAATTTCAGCAACCTGAGGTAGTGTAGCTAGTGAGCAGCTCAGGCAGGATTCGTGCTGAGGTCTCTCTGCCATGGTCACCTGCCTGGCCTGTGCTGCCATAGCCCAGCCTAGCTCCTGCCTTCTGTCCCTTACATTGCTTTGCAGCCAGAGCCTTGGTGCCTCCAGGTAGTTCAGCAAGCAGGGGAGGGGCACCCTTCATGCCTGTGCACAAGCCCTGAGAAAGGACTGGAGAGGACACAAAACCAAGTGGGACACGGTGATGTGACATGTACTGGGCACAAGGCAGACCAGAGAGCTGCTCGCTCAACCTTTCTGTGGAGGGTGCAGGTACAGTGCCCTGGGTTGGGGGAAGGGAGTGTCCCCAGCAGTGCAAGCAGAGAAGAGTTCAGAGCAGAGATAGGTAAGTGGCATCCTGTGGGATAGGTAGGTCTCCAACGAGCACTGGTCAGGGAAGACCAGTGTGACAGGAGAAGGGGCTTTGGGCTGGTGAATGCAATGATTGGGCTGCTTGGGAAGAGAATGAAAGTCTGACTAGTAGTACCCTAATGGATTAGTGAGCCCTAACAAAGCAGAAGGGGTAGGGGTAGCGATATAGCACAGTGACACAGTGCTTCCAGGCAAGTGCAAGGCACTGAGTTCAATTCCCAATCTCCCCACCCCTGAAAAAAAAAGGTGAAAGTGGTATTCTATGGGGGCTGGACATGGAAGGAATGTTCCTGAGCAAACACTGACCAGAGCTGCAGTCTGTGTGTTCAGGGAGCCAGGGTACCTTTTGCTCTGCCTAAATCCACCCTTGACCTCCGCTGCCTTCCTGCCTGCCTGCCTGCCCGCTTTCTCCCTTTTCACCCTCACCGCATGCCATCCTTCCCCTGGAGCTTGGTGGGGGCCACAGCTTCCTCACTTGCTCAGCCCTTCTAGGTTGTATCCATTGGCCCTTCAGTCCTCAGGGGACTCTACTGGTTGCTGTGAGCCTACCTACTCTGAGGCGGTCACACATGCCCCTTTGGACTTCTGCCTTGCACTTGAACTCTTGTAGCTAAGGGGCCTTGCTTCTTCTGGTTTCTAGTCATCACTTTTGGGAGGATTTCTCCTCATGAATTCCTTGTCCCAGCACAAGATACTACCCAGGTGACACAGTCGGGGCCCTTCCATTTCAGGGGGCAGGCAAGCCAGATGCCACCACCTCCCAGCATCCAGGAGAACCCTGGAGGTGACTGGATTAGTTCAAGCAGGGTTTAGGACTGTTGTCTGGGGAGAAGGTAAGGAATGAGGAAGGAACAGCCTAACATCAACGAGGTAAGGCAGGGAGAGAAAAGAAGAAAAGCAGCAAAGTAACAATGAATCTCAGTGATGGGCTATGACGGTCTAATTGTGCCCTCCCACGATAAATCTGTTACAGACAAGGAGGCTGAAGCTCGGAGAGTTTAGGGAACGTCCACAGCTACTAAAGGGAAGAATCAGGATGCCAGTTGCGGTCTGGCTGGCCAACTCTCCATCCTCTGTCACAGGCCAGGACCCCAGACTCCCACCACAGAGCCCAACTTCCTCACCCTGCATGCGGCTGAGGGGTCTGTGGCATGCAAGGTACAACCCAGCTGCATCCACCCTCAGTAGAGGTGGCAGGGTGACAGCAGCTCCCTCTGCCCCTCACATTGAGTCCAAGTTCCCGAATCAAGATGGGCCCTGAGGTCCCCCACTGACAGCCCACCCTCCCCACCACTCTAAACAAGATTGTCCTTCCCCACAAACAGCTCTTTCTCTACCAACTCTCTAGCCAGTTGGCCTCCACTGCCCTTTCTGGTCAAGCCCTCTTGGCATGGAAACTGCTGCAGGAGGGGAGAGGGGGAGAATGTTATAGATGCCCTGTCCATTTTAAGTTCACATGGGGCTACTTAAATTTATTGATATTAAAGGTCTAATTCCCCAGCCATAACCTCCACATTCAAGTGCTCAGTACCACAAGTATTAGACAGTGCAGATAAAGGAGGTCTTCTCCTATAAAGTCCTGTTGGACAGCACTGGTCCAGAATGACCACCATGTTTGGGTACCTTCAGCTAACATGAGAGCGATGAACAGGCTTGTCAAGGGGGAAAGGAGTGTGCAGGTTGGGACAACTTGAGTGTAAGGATTCCACAGCACCTCCAAGTACAGAGGGCCAAGAAGAAATTGGGACCCTCAATTTCTGGAACCCAATACCTGAGCTCGCCAAGCAAGAGCGTTCACCAGAGACTCTTTCCTCTGGAATTCCAAGGGCCTCGCTAAAACCCAGCTGGGAACCTCTAGAAGATGGTGGTGTTGAGATGGGACTCCAGGCAGATGCAGTGTGTGTGGTGTCTGGCTAGGGCGAGATGGGAGGGAAGGTGCTCGCAGGCAAGGAGGGCACTGCTAGCCAGGACTGGCTTCATGCTATCGCTTCTGCCCCAAGTTGAGAAAGCAGATAAAGGAGGCAGGCTCTGAGGAGCCCAGCCTAGTCTTGGAATCATCTCAGGTGAGATGATTCCAAGGGGCAGTCCTGTCCATGTCTCCCTGGGCCAATAGGTGCCAAAGAACCACCTACCTTTTCTTCCAAGTCCTTCCTCAAATCTTCCCCAACGAGATAAGTCCAACATCCTTCCCTGTGGCTCTGGCCTCTCCATTTCACTGATTCATCTGTGTGGAACAGGCTGTGAGGACTGTGTAGCCTCAACTCTTTCCTCTGGCTCCTGTAGAATCTAGACTTGGAGCGAGAGCCAGACTCCAGGGTACAGGAAGATGCAAACAGCCCCATGCGCTCTGCCCATCTTCCTCTTGCTCATCTTGCTTAGGGAAAGTCAGGCAGCCCAGAGGTGTTTTCAACTACAGGTTCTGCTTAAGGTTTAGTCTCAGGAAGAACCAAGAGCAGGAGTGGGCAACTAGCAGGGGGTAGGAGAACTGAAGAGTCTGCTGAGTGTCCCCTAGTCTTCAGGAGTCCCTACCAATCACTGAGCCTCTGCCACCTTGCAGTAGGGCAGGACAACAACTCTATGGTTCTGCTGAAGGCCACAGTGAGAACTTGCAGAATGCCCCCTGTGGTGGCTTCCAGCCCCGGATGGTGGTTAGAATCCCCTGGGAATTGTGCATGGTGTTCATACCAGGATTCTAACCAGGACTTTCTGGTTTAGCTGGTTGCAGGTAGGACCGGATTTGGGTATATTTTCAAAGCTCCTCATATCTGGATGTGGTTACACGTGAGTACAACCCCAGTGTTCCAAAAAGCTGAGGCAGAACTGCAAATTTTAGTTTGGCCATGGCAATTGAGAGATTTAGCAAGACCCTGAAGGGCTACAGACATAGCTCAGTGTGAAAACCCTGGGTTCAGTTCTCTGTACAAAAAAAAAAAAAAAAAGAAAGAAAAAGAAAAAGGGAGCTTGTCACCAAGAGATTCTCATGTGCAGCTTTCACTTACAGCCGACATTAGAGGATGCAGCCCAGACAAGGCAGCTTCCAGGTCCGGCTTTTCTGAGGCACCTATAGGCCACGGCCAGGTGGGGTGAAGTGTCCAGAGCCCAGCAAGCCAGAGCCACAGGCTGGAGCGCTGCTCAAAGGGACTCGTGTGCTGCACAGGGCTGTGCACGCTGCTGCCTTGTCTCTCCCACCTCAGAATGCTCACTGCGGACCCTGTGGCCAGAAGAGTGACACCCAAAGGGGTGTCTGTCACCTGGCTCCAGGCTTCAGACTGGCTGGAAGCTGGCACATGAATTCCCTTCTCTGAGAGTTATAGGACATCCTTGTTCCAGAGGAGCCACTTTTGCTGCGCAGCGTGAGAGGCAGAGAGGAGCAGTGAAGGACCCCAGGGTGCCTGCCTGGCCCATGCCTTCCTACGGGCTGCAGAGCCATGGCCCTCACCACATGAGAAGTCAGCATGGGCTGCGCCAGCCTCACTCCAACTGCCTGCGCCCAGCTCCCAAGAGGCCAGTCTGTGGTCATGGGCGAGCTGGCTCTGGGCGTGACTGCTGCACACCAAAGCACACAGCCCACACTCGCCAGCATGGCACCTTGGCTGCCCTGCCTCCTCCCCCACATAAACTCATGTGTGTGCTATACGCACAGGCATGTGCTAGGCACACACACTTTCCAGCTCTCCTCAGGTGCCCTCAATCTTCCTCCCATGTGGGCTCACATAGGATTATAATACACATACATGCAACCATGCAATATGCCAGGTCTCTCTCTCTCTCTCTCT